ATTATATCAGATTCACGAGGATACAACTAGCCACACGTACACCTTTTGAGTATCTAATTTAAGTAGTCCGCCTGGGTATACAAAATTTTAATTATGAAACCATTTTCTACATTTTAACAAAAAAAATTTTTTGCTAAATTTTGATATAAACTATATTTTGCTTCAACTATAATATTACTCTAACTTTAATCTTTAACTGCAAGAGCTTATTTATAAAATAATATTGTTTTGATATTTATATTATACCTAATTTTAGTTATAGTTACAAAAAATTTATTGGTTACAAATTAATTAATCCTTCAAACTTATATAGTATACTAGGTAAATGCACAGCATTGTGTGTCTGGAGCTTAATATTTAACTAAAAAAATAAAACTATATATATATAATATAGTTAATATTAATTAAATTTTAATAATAAAAAAGTAATTTTTTTTTTTTTCAGTATTAAGGTGATCTCTTTGGCTATAGGAACTCTTTATTAGTAATCATTTTACTATTATAGTTACAATGAAGATACAATTAGCTACACATACACCTTTTGAGTACCTATTTAAGTAGTCCGGCTGCAGATTCTATACTAGATACCATATCTATAACCCAACTAGAGAGTTATCTGTTTAAACCTTCTGATCCTAACTATTTTTATAGCATATCATACTAATCTGGGAACTACAATCTGGCCATTTCTCTAGATTGTATACCCTTTCCTAGAACTTCTATGACTTATTCTAAATTTGCACTAACTAATTACTAGCTTGTATTCCTCTATTAAGTGGATGCATAGCTATTCATGAGGTAAACCTACCAGTGCTTTTCCTATCCTATTTGGGCCAACCTGGTTTTGCACAGTTGCCAAGGCTCCTACTTGCAGTTAGGTTTTTACTTATTTAACTGCTTTTGCTCTTATAAGGTTCATATTCCAATCCCAGTACCTGCATTCAGACCTTTTCTTTTTCTGTTATTTCTTTATTAGTCCATCTCTTATTTCCAACCAGTGACCTAGAAGATTCGACCTTGACTTGGCATTAGGTGCCAGTGCCTTTGTCTTGTCTTGGTACATAATTTTTTAGCATATATCCTTTTCCTTCTAATTTAGTAGACTGGTTCTCCAGACATGCTCAGTATTTTTCTATCCAACTAGTTTTCCATCTAACTTCTATAACCTCTGGTCTTGGTGGGTAGGGCCCCCACCACTAGTTTTCTATGCTAGCTAGCCAGAGTTGGTGTACTCCATAATGGTCTCACAAATTTTTAACTTTTCTAAATTGGCGGTCGGGTTGGTAAATCTCCCTACTAAAGGATCTTGTTGTTGTTTGGTTCTATAATCTCAGTTCTAACTTCCAAATTCAGGTCTTTTTCTGTAGCACTGTCAAAGATTGTAGTTACTCCTTATTTAGGTCTTCCCAAATAGATTTTGATCATCCCAGTTTTTTGACATTTATACACTGAAGCTCCTATACTAGATAGTACAACCAAGATTCCAGATTCCAGATTCAACTGATCAGTGAATAATTATTACTATAATGCAGATTTATTTTTCAAAAGCATCGTTCATGGGATTCGAACTTTAGACCTGCTGCTTGGTGGGGTGATGACTAAACCACTTCACTAAGCCACCATTTTCCCTAAAAAAATAATTTATAATATATTTTGTTTAAATAAATATAACTTTTTTAATTTATTTAAATTATTACATATTGATTTATTTTTTATTAAACATTGTCAAATATAAATAAACTAAATAAAAAAACTACTATATATCTAAATCTTTTACACAACAAAATACAAGCTTTTAAAAAATTATTATTTATATACAACTAAATATAGCATAACTATATTGATTTAAACAAACAAAAAATTTTATAAAATGCCTCTTTAAAAAATATATAACAATCTATTACAATTTTTTAATGCTAACTTTAAAATATATAGCACTAGAACAAATATTAAAAGTAAGAATATTTCACACCCTATACTATTCATAATAATTTGTATAATTTAAAAATATTCTTGGCAGATGATAATAATACAAAATAGTAAGATAAGAGGTTAAATAAAATGTGAACAACTCATACTAAATACTTAGATCAATTAGACCTAGACTAAGAGTGCTTTTAATATAATTAGATAGCTATCAAGATTACTATAATTAATTGAAAAAAAAAGATAGCTTCAAACTTTTTTTTTTATCATAATAATGAACCTACTTACTGGTCAAACTACTTTTTACCAATTAAAAATTGTATTTAGATTTATAATTTATATGCTTGAAGAATATTAAATCATGTGAATAAAAATTGAAATGAGAAATTAATTAATATATACATTGATTAATAATATTCAATTTATTAAATAAAAAAATACTAAATTGAAATATTATGTAAAAACCTGACATTATATAGCAAAGAGTTTTGTAGACCAATTTCAACCTATTAAGATTTTTAAAGTTAGATGGCTTCTTTAAATACTATGTTGCTTTAAAATTATTATTACTGTAGCAACCTAATAATATTTAATACAAAGCTTATTAAGCTATGGCCAAGTTATGCTCTAGCTATAATACAAATCATAACTTCAATATTACTGTATTATGATTTAATCTAGAGCTATGACTTTAAAAAGCAATTCAGTTATAGCTGATACTAAGTTATAGTTAAAAGCTATAATACCAATTCAAAGGCTATAATAAAAAAAAAACATTGACCTCATTCACTTTAATTGAGACAAAAATAATAAACAACTAACAGGTAATCATGAAAATACTCTAGCCTACCTGTTTGTGTAAGGGTTTTATTTTAAAACCCTTACTCTACCCTAATGCTCAGAAATCAATACCCCAACTCAGTACTATTTGTATATATCCATGGGTAGCCCAGGCCTATGCAGAGGTCTAATAAATATAAACAAAGCAGTAAATAGTTACATGCTGCCTCAAAACATAAATTATCTGCTGTTTTTTTCATCTTGTATATTAGTAAATTAAGAGGTGATAAACAGTTTCTGAAAAACAGATTTTTAAAAAAGATAATATTAACAAAGTTAGCTAGCATTAGTTATAATGTTGGCTAATTTAGTCAGTATTATGTTCTTGCGAGAAAATGGTCTTTGGGATTTGGGATAAAACCTGAGTAAATATAGAGATACAGTACATAACACAAACTAACATATATATATTTCAGAATCAAAAAACTTTTCACTCATCTGAAATTTCAATTAATATAGTGTGAACAATGGATAGCCAAAATGCTTATCGCAACACTCTAAAAAAATATAAAAAAAGAAAAAATAAAACACCTGAGCAATATGAAATATGATGACTTCAAGATCGCAAAAGATAGCATGAAAAAAGAGCTGCAGAAATGCCTGAGAAGTGAGAAATACATCTCACAAGTATTTGTAATTATTACCAAAAATGCCAAAAACAAGAAATTCTAAGTGGTGAGAATGATAGTAAAAAAGATATGAATAATAGTATGAATAGTACAAATATTGTAATTGATAGTATGAATGGTATAAATAAAAGAGCAAATAATGCTGTAAATGGTAGTGTTACTGATGGAATGAATGATAATATGAATGGTGCGAATGTTATGATTGATAATAATATAAATAGAGTAAATGATGGGGTTAATAATGATGTTAATGATGGCATGAATGATAATATGAATAATGGTATTAATAGTGTAAATGATTATATGAATGGTGCAAATATTATAATTGATAGTGTGAATAATGGTGTTAATAATAGTACAAATAATAGCAGTGAAAATGAGATAAGAGAATAGTTTAAATATTGATAAACAAGAAATTCAACATTCTAATATTCAGGAGATGCAAAATAGTACAACTACACCTGTTGAACTACTTTTTGCTGCTGATCTTAGCGAACTTGATCAAGATCTTCTATGTAAATTTCATAGTAAAATGGATAAGATCAAATATACTTATTGCCCCATATATACTAAAAGCTTTCCATTAATAGTTCTTGTTAGAAAGGAATGTCGTCAATATTACAATGAAAAGACTTTACCAAAAAAGTTCTTCAAAGAAAATGAAATGAACTCTGGTGAAGTATCTAAAAAATTGCAAGGACTTACAGAAATAGAAAAAATGTTAATTGTACAAGTTTTCTTAGTAATGTCAGTCTATAAACTTCATGGTGGTTAATATGGGTATTGTGAAAATGTAATAAACTTTTTACAAGATATATATGAGTTCATTATTCATCTTTCCCGAAGTTCCTTATCATTAGATGTATTAATTGTATGCCACTAGTTAGTAAGGTCAGGATCGTTTAGAGATTTCCAAGTCTATCGTGAGAAAATTACTCATGCATTAATATGATTAAAAGAAAATAATCATTATTATAATGAAATTACAATTGATAAAGGTGTCCTTTAGTCCTTACTTACAAACGGTTATATTAATAATCAGCTTACAAATAATGAAATAGCTGCTAAAGAATCAGATAATGATAAATTTGAGAATGATATAATTACTCATATCTTTGTTCTATCTCTTTCACCAGTTCATAGAGAAGATATTGCATTAATGAAACTCTTAATTGCATGCAAAGTAAGAGTGAACCTTTAGTATAGCCAAATATAAAAAATACTTCTATTAATGAATTCAGAATACTGGGTTATATTGCATATACCTTCCCAACTCTTTATCTGACAAAACTGTCTAATCTTCAGTTAGAATGTATTAGAGATATCAATCTAGCAAAATATTACAAATATCTACTTCAGTACAAAGATAGAAGATTTGTATGACATATGCATTGGAGATATTTTGCATTGAATTTTATAATGCGATGGTAGACATTACAAGAGGGAAAAGTGTATGTTAAGCAAAAATTTAGTAATAGGCAACTTATAGTTAGAGATATTCAAGACATAATTGCTCAAAGTAATAAACATGTTGCTGATTACATTATATGATATGGTGAAGGTTTGTACAAATCCCAGCAATTTTGGATGGGATAAGTGGGATAGGAATAAGGCCTTTAAGAGTAGAATAAAGAGAATATGGATAGAGTAGTGAAGACTGAATAGAGAAAGATAGGTGAGAGAAGATAGTATGTTTTAAATAGCTAAGTTCAAGTAAAAGGAGATTGAGATTGAATTTGGAGACAGTTTCATCAATATAGAAGTTAATAATTTAAGTTAGTTGGTTGAGATTAGAACACGTATACCAGTGAGATGAAGAGTCAGAAAGATTGCAATAAAAGCAGTTAGAGAATGAGAATAGATTGGGAAGTATAGAGTGATAGTAGAAGTGTGTGGGTAAGTTGCTAAGCAAGATTTTAATTTTAAAAGATTTGAGGTAGTTGAGTTTAAGATTAGTAAAGTTAGATAAGCTTTTTTGATTGTTGTTAAAGTAAAGCCAAGTAGAGTTCCAATTGATATAGTAAGAGAAGTAAGATTATTCTTGATTGTGATTTTGGGAGAACCACATCACAATAGTTTTGGCTTTACAGATCTTTTTAACAAAGTACTTAGCAGGGCTATCAATAGGGCAATTTTTCTATTTAAGAAAAAAGTAGGAATTATGTATATTGGAATAATTAAGTATTAAGATAGGGGATGAATTGCGATTGTTGGCAAGAAAGTCTGCTAAGTTGTTGAAGGTATTGTTAGTATGAGCTTGCACTTTATGAAATATTAAATTAA